TCGACTCTAAAATTTTGCGGGAAAATGGAATTTTTTACAGCCAAGCAAAAATGGTTATCACATAATTTTCATAAAGAGAAATTGCATGACAAGCAGAATCTACTTAACAATCTCCCTCTCAACAAAGAGGGCAGATTGTTAACAAGATTTAACTGATCGAAGTTTCGACCTATCAGAATGCAGCAAAATTAGAATTCTCAAAAAACGCTGGTGTTAACTTTCTGCTTTAAACTACAGGTGTTGAGATTCTTTAGTAGATACCATAAAGGGAGACTGTTAAATCGATCCGATAAGCATTTTCAATTTGTATCAATTTATCACTTTATTCAAAAAAATCATCAGCAGCAAATCGAAATTTCGAAGCACGATAGCTTTCAGCATGAAAGCTTTCAGCTGAAAGACTGACCTGTCCAAAATGGGGATCAGTCCAGGAAACTTTCCAGACTGGTCCATTGACGGCCTGGATCTTGTGATTGTTGATCCATCTGGCTCTCCACGTGAGCAGAAGACGTGCCCGATTGCGTCGAGGAAAGATTCCGTCGTCATCCGACATTTGAGGAGAACACATAGAGTAGTTTGATGGGATGCCTGCTTCTGGAGAAGCCGCTACACTACTTCCGGGGATGCCTGCTTCTGGAGACGCCCCTACACAACCGTGGAGCTTGAGGAAAAAGTCACGACCAAGTAGGCAAATCAAGCGAAATCGAAAACTCTGAGATTAGTTTCGAGAAAGTAACCTCTTGTTTCAACCTGCCCGATTAACTTGCAAACGATTTGGCCGCGTTTCCAACTCAAAAAGCATATAAATGTCTCGACGTTGGTTCAACGCTATGAAAGCGAAGGTGCGAAATAATAATCAAAGTTCGGAAAGTACGAAAAGGCTTAAGTACTAGTAAGGTATCAGTAATATACCAGTAAGGAGTCAGTCAATGTGCCGTAAGGAGCCAATACTACCACTAACTTGGCCTCATCAGTCCTACGGCTGCCGATGTTTCAATTTACACATCTACCAATGATTTGAATACATTCTACTTCAATGTTAAAAAAAAATTTTGAAAAAGTTTTGTTATTTTGATTTGCATACATTCGATTTCAAATTATAAAACTTTTTGGGATTTTTTTTTAATTTTGCGTTAAACAGAACATAGCCAACAGACATTTAAAGTCAATGAACGCAAGTCAACAAAATATATTTACTTTTAAAGAATATAGATGCCCTTAAAAGTCTTTGATATTCTAAAACAACCTATGACTAGCGTCTTTTGATAAAACTTAATTTTCGAAAAAAATTAAGCCAATTTGATAATACTGTATCAATAAGTATAATCATTTCGCTGGTAAACCTGAAAATTAAAATCCACTTTCCATACTAGACGTCGATTGTTTTTCGTGACCTCTACAACTTAAAGGTTAGATAGTCGAGTTTGCCTTCCTTTTGAAAAGCGAATTGAACAAGCTTAAAAATAAATCAAAAAACAAAATGTGAAAACTAGGAAAACTGAGCGTAACCAAAATTTATTACTTTTCCTGAAAAAAAAGACCACGACCAATATAAGTCTGACTTACTTTCATCGATCTAAAACTTTGCAGGCAATTTGGATTTTTTTACAGCCACGCCAAAATGGTTCCCATAATTTTCATAAAAAGAAATTGCATAACAAGCAGAATCTACTTAACAATCTCCCTCTCAACAAAGGGGCAGATTGTTAACGAGATTTAATTGATCGAATTTTCTACATATCAGAATGCAGCAAAATTAGTATCCTCAAAAGAAAGCTGTAGTGTTAACTTACTGCTTAAAATCACAGAGGTTGAGATTCTTTAGTAGATACCATAGAGGATGATTGTTACATTGGTCCTATAAGCATTTTCAATTTGTAACAATTTATCTCTTTATTCAAAAAATCATCAGCAGCAAATCAAAACTTCGAAGCATGATAGTCCAAAATGGGGATTAGCCCAGGAAACTTTCCAGACTGGTCCATTGAGGGCCTGGATCTTGTGAGTGTTGATCCATCTGGATCTCCACGTGAGCAGAGGACGTGCCCGATTGCGTCGAGGACATGATTCCGTCGCCATCCGACATTAGAGGAGAGGACAAAGAAGTTTGAGGGGATGCCTGCTTCTGGAGACGCAGCTACACTACTTCCGGAAATGCCTGCTACTGGAGACGACGCTACACTACCGATGAGCTTGAGGAAGAAGTCACGACGAAAAAGCCAAATCAAGCGAAATCTAATACTTTCAGCTTAGTTTCGAAAAAGTAACCTCTTGTTTCGACCTGCTCGATTAGAAAGCAAACGATTTGGCCGAGCTTCCAACTCAAAAGCACAAGAATGCCTCGACATTGCTTCAACTCTATGAAAGCGAAGTGCGACATAATAATCAAAGTTCGGAAGTACGAAAAGTTCTATGTACTAGTACGATATCAGTAATGCACCAGTAAGGAGTCAGTTAATGTGCCAGTAATGAGCCAATACTACCGCGAACTTGGCCTCATCAGTCCTACGGCTGCCGACTTTTCAACTTACACGTCTACCATTGATTTGAATACATTCGATTTCAATTTAGAAAACTTTTTGGGATTTGTTTTATTTTGCGTTAAACAGAACATAGCCAACAGACAGTTCGAAGTAAATGAACGCAAGTCAACAAAAAATGTTAACTTCCAAAATAAAGATAGATGCGCTTAAAACTCTTTGAATTTCTAAAACAACCTATGACTAGCGTTTTTTCATAAAACTTAATTTTTGATAAAATTAAGCCAAATTGAGAAAACTGGATCAATAAGTATAATCATTTCGCTGGTAAATCTGAAAATTTAAATCCACTTTCCATACTAGAAGTCGATTGTTTTTCGTGACCTCTACAACTTAAAGGTTAGATAGTCGAGTTTGCCTTCTTTTTGAAAAGCGAATTCAACAAGCTTAAAAATAAATCAAAAAACAAAATGTGAAAATTAGGAAAACTGTGCGTAAACAAATTTTAATACTTTTCCTGAAAAAAAGACCGCGACCAATATAAGTCTGAATTACTTTCATCGATCTAAAACTTTGCAGGCAATTTGGATTTTTTTACAGCCAAGCGAAAATGGTTATCACATAGTTTTCATAAAAGAAATTGCACAATAAGCAGAATCTACTTAACAATCTCCCTCTCAACAAAGGGGGCAGATTATTAAGGAGATTTAATTGATCGAATTTTCGACCTATCAGAATGCAGCCAAATTAGAATTCTCATGAAAAAGCTCTAGTGTTAACTTACTGCTTTAAACTAAAGGGGTTGAGATTCTTCAGTAGATACCATAGTGGAGATAGTTAAATAGATCCGATAAGCATTTTCAATTTTTATCAATTTATCTCTTTATCAAAAAAAAAACATATCAGCAGCATATCAAAGCTTCGAAGCATGATATCTTTCAGCCGAAAGACTGACCTGTCCAAAATGGGGATCAGCCCAGGAAACTTTCCAGACTGGTCCATTGTGAGCCTGGATCTTGTAAGTGATGATCCATCTGGCTCCATTCACCATCTGGCTCTCCGCGTGAGCAGAAGACGTGCCCGATTGCGTCGAAGACATGATTCCGTCGTCATCCGACATTGGAGGAGAGGACATAGTAGTTTGAGGGGATGCCTGTTCCTGGAGACGCCGCTACACTACTTCCGGGGATGCCTGCTTCTGGAGACGCCGCTACACTACTTCCGCCAATTGAGACGCCGCTACACTACCGTGGAGCTTGAGGAAGAAGTCACGACCAAAAGGCCAAATCAAGCAAAATCGAATGCTCTGAGCTTAGTTTCGAGGAAGTGACTTGTTGTTTCGACCTGCTTGATTAACTTGCAAACAATTTGGCGGCATTTTCAACAGAAGAAGCACAAGAATGCCTCGACGTTTCTACAACACTATGAAAGCGAACGTGCGACATTATAATCAAAGTTCGGAAAAACTAAAAGTTCTATGTACTAGTACGATATCAGTAATGTACCAGTAAGGAGTCAGTCAATGTGCCAGAAAGGGGCCAATACTACCGCAAACTTGGCCTCATCAGTCCTACGGCTGCCGACTATTCAACTTACACGGCTACCAATGATTTGAATACATTCGATTTCAATTAAGAAATTTTTTTTTTGATTTTTTTTATTTTGCGTTAAACAGAACATAGCCAACAGACAGAGTCAATGAAAGCAAATCAACAAAAAAATATTTCCTTTTAAAGAAAAGTTAGATGCCCTTAAAAGTCTTTGAATTTCCAAAACAACCTATGACTAGCGTCTTTTGATAAAACTTAATTTTTGAAAAAAATAAGCCAATTTGATAAAACCGGATCAATAAGTATAATCATTTCTTTGGTAAATCTGAAAGTTGAAATCCACCTTCCATACTAGAAGTCGATTACGTTTTTTGTGACCTCTACAATTTAAATGTCCGATAGTTGAGTTTGCCTTCCTTTTACAAAAACGAAATGAACAAGCTTAAAAATAATTTAAAAAATGCGAAAATCAGAAAAACTGAGCGCGAACAAAACTTTACGACTTTTCTTGAAAAAAAACGGAAAAAAAACCGCAACCTATATGATCTGAGTTACGTTCATCAACTCTAAAATTTTGCAGGAAATATGGAAATTTTTTTACAGCCAAGCGAAAATGGTTATCACATAGTTTTCATAAAAGAAATTGCACAATAAGCAGAATCTACTTAACAATCTCCCTCTCAACAAAGGGGGCAGATTGTTAAGGAGATTTAGTTGATCGAATTTTCGACCTATCAGAATGCGGCAAAATTAGAATTCTGAAAAGAAAGCTCTAGTGTTAACTTACTGCTTTAAACTACAGGGGTTGAGATTCTTTAGTAGATACCATAGTGGAGATAGTTAAATAGATCCGATAAGCATTTTCAATTTGTAACAATTTATCTCTTTATTAAAAAAACTCATCAGCAGCAAATCAAAACTTCGAAGCATGATAGCTTTCAGCATGAACGCTTTCAGCCGAAAGACTGACCTGTCCAAAATGGGGATCAGCCCAGGAAACTTTCCAGACTGGTCCATTGTGAGCCTGGATCTTGTGAGTGTTGATCCATTTGGCTCCATTCACCATCTGGCTCTCCACGTCAGCAGAAGACTCGCCCGATTGCGTCGAGGACATGATTCCGTCGTCATCCGACATTGGAGGAGAGGACATAGAGTAGTTTGAGGGGATGCCTGCTTCTGGAGCAGCCTTTTTCCAGATCTTCACACACATGTCACTGGAACAGGTTGCCATTCTGCGTCCAGTGCTGTCGAATGAAATGTCATTGATGCGGTCCAGATGTCCATGCTTGACACTCGAGTTTGTGTAGTTCGACATGTCATAAGTTGTAAAGACAGGCAGGGACACACTATACTAGTGACAAATTAATGATGAGAAAACCATCATATCATTTGAACTGAAAATGAGAATCATGAGCTCATCATAAAAATCATCAGTTCAAAAGTAAGGCAACATGCAAACTGTACAGAATTAGGGTCTTTGAAATTAATTCATTGGGGATTTTGGAAAAAAAAACATTCAAGTATAAAACAAAACCAATGATGCGTTTTGAAAAACGTCTAGTTGCTCACTCAAAAATTGATTAGCGTTAGTGCTATTCTATGATTGGACTTACGGTTACCCAAACTAAGAGGTTTGACAGTTCCCAACACGGCTGAACGAGCTATTAGTTTTTGTCCTAGAACACAAATAAACTTCTGGTGTTTTCCCACCAAAAACCCAATTGTAATGAAAATGATCAAGCATTTCTCATGCAACTCAGTCGATTTAAACTCTATTCCCGTTGGAAAAAAAACTCTTAGACAGTCCTTTTCATCAAGAGAAGATATTTAAAACTGAATTTCATCCAATTTGAATGCCATTTTGCTTTCAGATCATAGTCAAAAGTTCGCTTCATAATCAAATCATAACTCGGCAATGCTCGATTATATTGACAATACATGGGCAGATACCGAGTTATAGAAGCACTCGGTTCCGTTCAAAAATGACACACTCCGCCTACTTCAAATTTAAAAGGGCGCATTAATCCACTTTTTAGCTTACATCAGACATAAGGTTTCATTCCTTTCAAGTTTAGAAAAATCAAGTTTAATTTCAAAATTGCAGAGTTAATCTAAATTCTGAATGGCTATGCTGTCAGCCATTTTTTCTGGTTACATCGACAGACAAGCTGACAAAACTAAATCCGAGAGTACATTGCGTTAACACCACCGTCGATTTGAGGCATGCGAATCAAGAGAAGCTAAAACAAAGTCAAAAACTGCGCAGAAAAAAAGACCGACCAGCAATACCAAAAATAAATTTGAGGGAAACCAACGAGGCTTCGGAATCTGTAAATTGGGGGGGGGGAATGGTGTATAAAATAGAAGTGATTAAACAGACGGTTGGAAAAGTGTCAGTGAGCTCAAGCAGACCGAATAAAACTTAAGTTGAAAAATGTAACTTACATAACTCGTCTTAACGCTTTTTGAAATTCTATCATTGGCAAATTTTTGATAAAACGAACCCTATTTTCGAAAGCTGGGAAATCTGAATTTTGAAGTCCATACCAAAAAGCTATTCTGTGGTGAAGTATATTGAGTAACTTATGATTATTACGTATTATGTATTATGTTATAATGGTATGGTGTCCAGGTCAACCGTACAGAGCTGTTGACTATGCGTGTCGGCATTGGCGCTGCTGTTTTTAGAGAATTTATGTTGTTCATTTTACACTCTCTTTACGATAACTAGATATAAACGTACCTTCAATGAGTACACTTCTACATGGCGCAGTCACATACGGAATCGAGCTATCGCGGGCTGGATGTGTTCTGGAATGGACCGACTCAACAACCGCCAGTTTCTTGGGAGGATTGGGCGCAAAGATTTCAGCTTATCGTAAATGCAAAGAAAAAGATCGATATTGAAGACCTACTGGCCGAAAATACGTTGCCACCAAATGATTACAAGACTTTGGAGGAACCACAGGGAACAGAAAAAGCTCAGGTGAGAGCGGCTCGAGAAGCACATAATGAACGTGCTTTACAAGCATGTCAAACGGAGGAAACCCGTCGGTCGGAGCAAGAGAAACGTTTATTCAAAGTAGCACTAGCAGAGAGGCAGATAAACGACTCAAGTCAAAGTTATTCCTATCCTTCACTGAGTTGTGGAAGTTGGCTACAGAGGTAATTCTGAAAGAGCCAAACGTGACGAGCCGTCGGTTTATTTTGTTCGGACGTAAGTAACGGGAAAACCGAGGAATGGAGCAGTTTTATGGTTTGTTGAGTATCTTTTCCGGGGGTGCGATTTTAGTCCCAAGAAAGAATCAATCGTTCGTGACGTATTTATCTTTATCATGAGAAACGTTGCTCCCATCGGACGCATTACAATTCGCAGTGGTAAAAGAAAGAGGCGGCGAAATGATGTATAAAAGAGTCAGCGGAGGTCTTCCCAAGTTTGGAAGAAATCAATTCACCCCAGGACGCTCGAATACCGGGGGGAGTCAACAGTCAGTTTACATGAAGCGACGAGAACCCATAAACGACGTCAAAGGCCAACGGCAAGACAAAAGTCATTATTGCGAAAACTGGTTTAAACCGAACCATAGAGAAGACTGCCCCACTAGAAACATCATCTGTAACAAAAGTAGTGGACGTGGACATTTTGCTAAAAATTGTAGGAAAGCGACAGGTAATCAGGTGGATGATTCAAAATTTACGCAGTACGAAAATAATGTGATACAAAGGTGGGACACAGAAAAGACCGAAGAATTCGGGGTGTTCGCAATAAGGACAGTGTGGGATAAGTCGGGACGTGAAAATCGTAAGTTGATAGATGTCCAACTTGGAAAGAAACGTTGAAGCAAATAACTTCAAATTGATTGCGCTAGCCTGGAGTCATTTATATCACAATCGAAACTGCATGAACTCAAAATCCAGGATAGGTTTTTGGAAACCTGCTCGGCCCCGAGCCACCTGAAGAATGCATTTTAAAGTGTAACAGATGATAATGATACAATCAAAATGACTTGGCGCACTTTCGTTGACATTCGTTCCGAGGGTTGGCTAGCGGATATGGGCAAACTCTTCATCACCGAGGGTGGTCAGCGACATATCATTAGCAACAATGCGTTACCTCAATTGGGCAACGAAGTGCGTCATAAAACGATATCTGGCTGAGTCAACGAGGTAGAGATTCAGGGTGATTGTTTGAGGAAGCAGTATTCGCCTATAGAACGAAAGTTTGTAAAGTTTATCTTGCATCGGTTCAAAGACTTATTCGAACGCAAAGGGATGCTTAAAAAATGGAAATCATCGGTGGCCTGCTAGAAGACGGCCATATCGTAAAACTAGGCAAAGGTACGGAAGATTGTTTTATTTTGCCGACGTCATAACCGCTAAACGCAATGGGTCAGTGAAACTTGCACTAAATTCGAAGTTAATTATTAAACAAACTTGCCGCAACCGTTACCAAATGCCTAACTTGAATGAAATGGTGGATAATGTTGCCTTGGCCATTAGTGGTAATACGGAAGATCCAGTTTGGTTTTCCATTATCGATCTAAAATACGTGTATTCCCAAATGAAACTTAGTGAAGCTACTAGCCGACAATGTAACTTCAACATCGTGGGCGGAACGATAACGGGGACATACCGGTTTAAATCGGGGTTTTATGGTTTGGGGGATAAGCCCAATGAATATCAACAAAAAAATGGATTCCTTGCTGGGACACTTACCGGTGGTGCACGTGTACTTAGATGACATATTAATCACAACCAGAGGTTCAGTAGAACCCCACTGGAGTGAAGTCACGCGGACGCTGGAAGTTCTTGATTCCAATAACGCCTCAATTAAATAGAGTAACTGTACTTTCTTTGTTAAAAAAATCGAGTGGCTAGGATTTCGCTTATCCACTAAAGGTATTGTACCCATCGAACGAAAAGTCGAGTCTATTGCAAAAAAAAATGCAACCGGAAAACATTACCGACATTCGGTCATTAATAGGGTCCATTAATCAATTTATCATAACTATACCAAACCTTGCTGTTAAAACGGAACCGTTTCGGAACCTTATGAAAAAACAATCTCGTTTTGAATGGGACGACTCCTATGGAAAAGCCTTTGAAAAGATGAAGGTTGTCAGCCAATTTGTCCAAAATCATCTTTTCGACGTGCACAAATCAACTAGGGTGAAAGGTGATGCTTCTAAACAGGGCCTAGGGGCCGCATTGGAACAGCTACATTCGGATGGCTGGAAACCGACTTCGTACGCTACCAGGTTCCTAAATGAAGCCGAATTAAAACACAATATACACGAATTGGAATTACTTGTTTGGAACTGCATTCAAGATAGTCACAGATCATAAAGCAATACCATGCGTTTATCCGAAGAGAAAAATACCAAAACAACTCAAAAAAGATTAGTACGGTGGGTAGACCGACTGTTATCGTTCGATTTTGAAATCGAACATATCTCGGGCAAGAAAATGAGTTTGGTGGATTATTTGTCCCGCCACCCCCATGGGATAAGCACCAAAACAATCCAAATCAGACAACACTTTCGTTGTAGCACAAATTATTGCAATTTGTATGCTATTTCAACCAGCGGCTAAGTTAAACACGGTGGAAAACGTTTCAATTAATGACGTAATCGAGTACAAAATAGGAACGAGAATTACGTCATCGGAAGGAAATCGCTGCGAAGAAACTCATTAACGCGTTTCAAAACTGTCTTTTGTTTCAAAGTTTGTACAGCTGGCCACAAGCGCACAGAGTATTGCAAAAACTGTTTGTTACTAAGTCCATTGATGAATACTACTGAATTCTAATGAAGGGCAGGAGACCCGTAAATTGCCTGCTAACAATGTCATCTGGACTACTGCTTCAAAACAGCCGTCGGCTAATACATCTGTTATCCTCCCGGAAATAGTTCTGGCTAGCCTGTTTGAGTGGCCCGAGTTTTTCGACGCCGAACTTGTTGCTATACTTACTCAAACGGATGAAATTTTGAGATTATTATTGAGGCTTTAAAATCAAACAATTACAGTCAGATTTAGGACTTGGGCCCATATTTCGCCAATTACTTTGATAAGTTAAATACTTCTAACGGTATCCTCTTTCTCGACAATATGGTGGTGACCCCACAGTTACGGGCTCCCATAATGATGCGCCTACATAAAGGGCATTCGGGCATGTGAAAGATGCGAGACGTTGCCAATCATTATTTTTAGTGGCCCCACATGAACCGGCAAATACAGTTGAAGGAGGCAAACTTTCGAGAGTGTATATAATCAGGTAAAAATTTCAAATCAGTAATTCCTGAGGGAGATAGGATGCCTCTAGACGTTTTAGAAGAACCGAATCAGGAGACTCAGTTGGATTTCTAAGGGCCGTTACCGGCGGTTTGGGAT